CATCCCAGAATATTTTCTGCTAAGAAAGGCGAAAATAGATAAATTATACCCAAAGGTGCGTTGCTAGATTACGTGGACCAAACCAAAAATGAACTTGCGAGAAAAATCGTTTGTTTTTCCTTGTCTGTGTGTGTGTGTGATGTTTTCTGGAGCAAAGAACAATGTTACGTGTCTGCGTATGTAGCAATCAGAATTGCTATTAGCGGATCGTGTGAACAGATAACTTTATCGAAGAAAAACACTCAGTAAGAATTTGAGTGTTAGTCTATAAAGAAGTGTGGTCCAAGTATGGTCCAGTTTGAAGGGTAGGGGGGACACCTGTAGTTTAATACAATTTAGGATTTGTCATGTTTCAAGCTCGATCTGGTAACTTTAAACTAAGGTTGTCCCCGAACACGCTCGCCGGTTGTCCTCGTCGACGTTGAATAAAAATAAATAAATTAACAGAATAAAAGGGGGGATCTTGCTGTATTCCTTGTCAAGCAATCCCGAACGGAGAGAAACCTTTACTTTTTGGACAGGTAGACGAACCTTATGCGCGGTTCGCCTAGGTTGCGCGCAAGGTATGTCGATCTTAAAGGTCAGATGTTGGGAGCAGGCTGCCACCAAAGAACTAACCTTGCGCTGTCTCATCCAACGTTCGATCCCCGCCCAGGGTTAGAACCTGGACGGTTCGATAGGGGTGTTCCCACGTTCAAAACTGTTACCAAACATGACATAAGTCGTTTTGTACCATATTTTCACTAATGCTATCCAAGAAGGTATTTAGGAAGATGGTTTTGAACTAAATATAACTCGCGTTTTATTTGAAGGGTATAGTTACATTATTTTATTAAATTGAATTTTCTACGGTCGAATTTACGAAGAGAAAAAATCTGTATTATACTCCCTGTTCTAGTTAATTCTAGTCTATTTAAAAAAAAAACAAGTAAATTATGTTGCGTGAAATCGAAGTTGAGAACACCAGCAGTGCGTCATCTCAAATATCTCAAAAATTATTTAGCTTTCCAACTGAGCTTACCATCATTTATGACTTCGTTATAATACTGTGCATTAGCTTGATGCAATCTCTATAATGAGCGGTCTGAATGATGGTCCGGCATGATGAATGATCTAGGAATGTGACATAAAGAGTAATATGGGACAAATTGGTCATTTGACTTTGGCCCGATGCCAAGCTTGATGACTGCATTGAAGGAATTCCCTAGGGTTAGAGGTCGTCAGTCAGTGCGTAGCCGTCGGTGGGAGTTATCTTGTAATACCCTGTAACCGGTCCAGTTCTATTTTGAGAAGGTCAGTTTATACTACACTAAGTACTTCTTAAAGTTCATTATTGGTCTACTGTAGGCATTCGAGAATCAACATCTAGAATACAGGTGTTGAAATTCTTCTAAGAATACTTTTTGTCATTTAATTTAACATTTAGACAAGGTCTCATTTCTGGTCAGGTCTCATTTTCAAATTGCTTATTATTTAGATTTTTTGATCCTTTCTAACATCGTTCATGATACGAGAAATTTAGAAGTCATTTTTAATGGCTAGATTTGTTGTCAGTTGTCATGAATATATGTCCCAAACAAATGCAAATTAAATTTATTTATTTCTTCTTCAACGTCATCAACATAGGCTTATTGAATATTGAAACGAGTAGTGTGTACAATTGCTTTAAAAACCCAATTCTTGAGCAAAAGCGGCCAAAAAATTCAGCGAGGCAATCTTTATTTATACGAAGCCTTATTCCGTATTCTTTTTGAAAAGAAAATGAACAAGGTCGTCGCTTTAGTTATTAAGCTCGGATATAAAACAAATATGTGTTCACTGGTGTTGACATTGCAGATTACTCTTCAATATTGTATCTTAGTATTGGCGACGTCATCGCCAGACAAACCGAAAACTCAGTCGTAGCATTGTAACAAAAACAGGTACTACCAAGCAAAACCTCAAAAAATTTATTGAGTAATGTCGAAATAGTAAATTTCTCTTTATTCGATTAGTTTCCTATAATTCTAAATTACCCCACAAAATATATAACTTTAGTTTCTCATCATTACGATGTCACTTCTGTCAAATAATACAACAGCGATTTACTTGTAAAGCATCTTACTAACACACAACAAAAGATCTTATATCCTTTACGTCATTGAGAGGGGATTTATCTCGAAACGAAGATTGTTAGAAAGCCTTTGTGTTTGGCCTTTATTTTCTTTGGTGCTATTAATCATTTGCAGTAGGATAAGCGCTCATGTAACGTCAATTTCTAGGGATATTGAATTAAAAAATACGTTGGAAAAGACTGTTGTTTGATTGCGGCACGGTGGATATCTGAAATCTAAATAACTATGAAGCCATAATGCTTTCTGTTATTAAAGGATAATTGATGTTTTGACGCCATTGAGATTAAGAGAAATGAAACCGAAATGAACTAATGGCAAGCTAAGGTCGTAGAAGCAATTCAAACCACGAAAATTCAAAATCATTCGTAGCGCTCTACTGCGGCTTGTAGCAGTGTCGCGTAATGTGAAAATGCAAACACGTCTAGTTGAGTCTTATTAGTACATTCAATTTCCGAACCGTGAACTTATCGAAAGATATTCGCGTTACCTAAATATATTTTTTCTAGTCTCCCGTTAGTCATCAATTGTAATCCAAATAAATCATTTCTGATTAGAAATTATTCAGGTATGTGTAATCCTTGTGTATTCCTTAAGTAATTATAGTTAATATACTTTTTTAAATCATCTGGACTTAAAGTATCTCTGTGTTGGGGAGAGTCCAATTCCATAGTTTTAATTTCAAGGGCATCTTCCACGTTATTAATAGGTAGGTTAATGTAATTGTTTAATGTATTATATAGTGATTTTTTTTTTCCTTACTATATACGTTAGATTAGTTTTCGTTATCGTGTTGTTTTGTCGTAATTGTAAGGAACATTATTGTACAAATTCAGCACTATATGTCTTGTTTTGTCGTGCGCACATAACTTATGATGCAAGCCAGATTTTGTTTCGTTTTACTCGTGTTTTTTATGTATCTTTTTAGCTTGTGATGTGTATTGTGAGCCTAATAAATAAAAAATAAAATAAAATTTGAAAAAATCAGGATTTATTGTTACTCGTACCAGATAATGAAATTATCTTTTACAAAATACGATCAGCACGTCATCTATATATCATCTTACGAATGTTAACTTCAGCAAAATAAACCTGTAAACATTTAAACTCAGATACAGCTTAAATCATTTATTTTCCTGTCCAGATAATTTATTTTAACCAAGCTCCCAACGAGCCCACGATAAGCCCTGACAAAATGTGAAGTAACAAATTTCTTGGCATCTCTCACAAATCAGCTGTCTACAGGAATCCTTTTGGCTGGCTTCCTTCTTTGTTTTACTAAAATTTTGTTTATTCTAAAACACAGTGTACTGTTTATCTTTCGAACCACCTTCCTAATTAATCTTACGTTAATTATTGACACCAGAAAGACCATTAGACAAAAGAATTAACATTAGAAATGATTTTTGTGATTATCTGGATACATTGAATAGTCATTGTGAAGTCAATTTTAAAAATGTGTCTCTCTGTCATTATAATCATGATTTCAAATTGTCAAATGAAATTAAAAATTAAGAATTTTTTTTTCACTTCTTCTCAGACGTGCAGTAATTATTTTAGCGATGAAACAAACTCAAAGCAAAAGTATTTCTAAAATCATCTATATATATTTTATCAAAATCTGGTTCTTAATGCGTAACCTAAGCTATTCGTCCGATTGCGATGAAATTTATCCAATTTGTTGTTGGCACTCCAAAGGAGGTGTCTATTATAGTATCATAAACGGAAGACAAGTTTAAGATTATTCCAAGAAAGAAGGCGTAGTAGGCAGAGCGTGTCCTAGTTGCACTATTTTTTGATAAATCATTTAAAACGGTCTAAGCTTATTCGACTTGGAAACTATACAAATTTCGATTGATGGGTATTTATAATATAAATAAATACTAATAAATAATTGGGAACAAATCGTACGGTCATCTGGCCACAAATTAGGTTTAAGTATTAGCTTATAAGTACCAGAGATTAACATACACATTGATATATGTTGAAATATGTACATATATATGTAGATAATAAACATCCAGACAAAGTGCTAACAAACCAATGTTTGCCTGATGTGGGAATTTATCCCACGACCCTCGGCGCAACAGTCAGAGTCGCTAACTACTGCACCACCGAATCAATACGTTGTTTATATAGGTATTACAGGTCAGAACTTCTTGTCACTTTCGTTCTCTATTCGAGAGCAGAAGAGTAGGCTATGCGTCATGATAATCGCCTTATCGTTGCCGCCGCTGACTCTCCCCGAATCCTGATCACGCAGGAGCCAGTCACCGTCGACGCCCTAGACACGTCCTTACGGATTCATCAGATTCAATAACCTTTGCATTAGACGTATGCAGCTTTAACACTAGGAGCAGGCTTAGAAACCCCGGTAACCGTTCTTGTCGAACTCGACAAAGAGGTCGACGTGAAACCTAACCCGTACATCAACCCGCTGAGTTTCTCGCCAGATCTTCTCAGCAGGTCGCGATTCCGATCCGATAGTAGATTCATTCGTGAAGCAATTGCTCTTGAGTTGATAGCTCTTCTTCGGAGGCGCTCGGGCAGCTGTTAGCAAATCCCATCCCTCTTGGCTCAGCCTTTGCTCGCTCACCTGTTCTGGTGAAACTGGAAAGGCCTCCGGGCCACCAGTAATTTTCCAATCATAAAAAATTAATCGAAAAACGTATCCTTCATATCTGTAGAAAAAGATCAAATACACAAACTCCTCCAATTAATTACATTTCGTATAAACGCTCACATTTATAAATATATACTATAAAATAGTTCTGCACCAACAAGATTCTATTTAATTCGACAATCCAATTAGTCGCCGACGATTCGTCTCGCAGCTGCGCGAAGCTTCCGCGAAAGAGCTTTCAAATAATTTAAGTATTTTTCTTGCAGGTACTTCCGTCGCTGAACGAAAATCAGACCCGAGGTAAGTTCGAATTTTGTTTGTTTTCAATTAACTCAAAGCGGGCTTGAAATAATTTAATTTGAAAATTGTTGCTGAATTTCATACTAGTATTTATTTTATTACGTCGTTTTGCTGAACAAAATACTAGTTGTTTTTAAAAGTTTTTTGTTTATTGCTTAAATGGGTGGACGAGCTCACAGCCCATCTGGTGTTAAGTGGTTACTGGAGCCCATAGACATCTACAACGTAAATGCGCCACCCACCTTGAGATGTAAGTTCTAAGGTCTCAGTATAGTTACAACGGCTGTCCCACCCCTCAAACCGAAACGCATTACTGCTTCACGGCAGAAATAGGCGGGGTGGTGGTACCTACCCGTGCGGACTCACAAGAGATCCTACCACCAGTAAAAACTCTTGAACTGGGGTGTATGAGTTTTTTTTAAGTTATTTTGTAACCTCAGCTGTGTAATGATCGCTTACTTCTTTGCCTTCAACCAGATAACTATCAAAGCCTGAAAATAGACAGTGGTCCCAAATACGTTCGTAATTTCATTCCAAAGCACAAATTATCCCTAAGTCAAGAACTAGGACTTAGGTTACAATAATCTATATATTAATACGTGAAGCAAAAACTTTGTATCCCTTTTTACGAAAATTGCGCGGACGGAGGAGTATGAAATTTTGCACACTTACAGAGAATATAGAGAAGAAGTGCACAATGCTAATATTTTTTCAAAATAATGGATAAAAGGTACATTAAATCAATAAAGAAAACATTACACACACTACATACCATGTATTTGACGCACACACGCATGCCTACTATTTATTGTCAAACTTTTGTTCTTGACGTCTGTTGTCAAATTGAGAATAGATTAAATATTGTTTACCTTTGTTAATATTTTTTACAGTGTAGTCTTGGTGAAATTTGTGATTATAGAAGTATAAAATACAATCATAATAGTGTACAAACTTACAATTCCAATTAATTATAGTCGAATTTCGACTACTGCGGGACCTCTAGTCTAATATTAATGATTAATTAACATTAATCGCACGCGGTGACTTTTAGACAACGATTGTAGTAAGTTCCGAATCGTTGGTAATAATGGTGGAGTTTGGTAATTCGCTAATACCCAAAAATACATGTAAATTTTAATTTTATAGATTTAAACTAATTTTATAGAAAAAATAAATAACGTTCAGATTTTTCATGTAAAATCAGAATCATTTGTTTTTTATTTTACATAATATGTAGACGAACTAATTTACAGTCTACTTTGTGGTAAGAAAACAAATGTGCACCGCAAAGTGAACTTCTCACTTATTTTGAAAAGCGACTATATTCCACTTTCAGATAATGTGGACAAATTTTGAAGTCGTCGTGGCCTAAAGGATAAGACGTCCGGTGCATTCGTATGTAGCGATGCACCGGTGTTCGAATCCCGCAGGCGGGTACCAATTTCTCTAATAAAATACGTACTTAACAAATGTTTACGATTGACTTCCACGGTGAAGGAATAGCATCGTGTAATAAAAATCAAACCCGCAAAAATTCTTATTACTGGTGGTAGGACCTCTTGTGAGTCCGCACGGGTAGGTACCACCACCCCGCCTATTTCAGCCGTGAAGCAGTAATGCGTTTCGGATTGAAGGGTGGGGCAGCCGTTGTGACTATACTGAGACCTTATAACTATATCTCAAGGTGTGTGGCGCATTTACATTGTAGATGTCTATGGGCTCCAGTAACCACTTAACACCAGGTGGGCTGTGAACTCGTCCATACATCTAAACAATAAAAAAAATCCGTAAGCCCATCCGCGGGATCGACAAATGTGAGCTCACTACACGCTTTGGCTCAAATATAAATCTATCTCAGCACAACCGTCCTTAGATACTGTGGCTCTTAAATTAATTAAAATGAAAGGCTTCAGGTGGAACCTCAGGCTGCTTAAAAGTCGGTTTTAATATCCCATTACTAATTAAATTTCGAGGTATTATTAGTCAATTTTGTTATAAGGTTTACAGCGGAGAGTAATTTTCCAAAATATGTAGTTGGAATTATTAAATTGTTTCTTGAAAATATCAGTTAAGTTTATCAATAAGATTACCAGCGCACGCTTCGCTGTGACTGTCATTGATTTAATTAATTAAAATAACATGAAACTGACAATTCATCCCTCCACGGTGTTTCCCGAGCGCTACGACATATCCTTCTTCAAATGAGGCTTGTGGAGAATACTTAACGGTAGGCAGCGGCTTGGCTCTGCCCTCGGCATTGCTGATGTCCATGGGCGACGTTAACCACTCGTTATCAGGTGGGCCGTATGCTCGTCTGCATACAAGGACAATAAAAATTATAAACACAATGAAAATTACATCAGCCAACTCGCTAAAGACCTTCTCAAATGTTCCATAGGACAATTCGCTGTTGATTTTAAGTACAGATTACTTCATGTGATATAAAACAGTGATGAAGATGACAACAATTGTTTGGTCATAAACACCATCTAAAGCATGACAAGAATTGTTTATAAATCATTTACGCAACATTAGATAACATTAACGATTTGGCTCTATAGCTCCATCAAGGAAATCTAATTTAATTACTACACATAATACAATCTATAAATTATATATATAAGCCAAGATAGTCGAGCACCATTTTCACCTTTGTGTTAGAAACGATTATTGATTATTTTAAAAAACAGTGTACTACTTTAAAACTAGTGTCATTGGAATGAACTGAGATGCAGGCTACGCGGTACCAGTTATTGTGGCGAACCTTGGAAGAGTCCTATGTCCAACTGTACATATCTGAGGATTAAATAAAAAAGATTGTGTCATTATCCGGACCAAAAAAAAACCGAACATATATTCGGGCCAAAAAAAAAACGAACATAATTTAAGGATTTTTTAAATTAATTTAGCATAATTGAAAAAAACATTTATCGTAATAACGGTATCCTCACTCGACAAAAAAATATTGTGGTACTGAATTTACACATTTTTACTAAATATGTACTTACAATATACAGATAAAGGGATAGGTATTTTCAACACGTACTACACAATCCACTTAATAAGTTCCAGTTTGTTTCATATTCAACAACAATGACTACAGGCTTGTTATTACGGTAACTGCTTTGTACGGGATTAAAACAATAAAATTTTAAAGTTGGATTTACAAATATATTTTTTAAATGTTAAATACGATATGTTTAGTGTTTTAATAGTGATAAAATTGTTAATGGTATTTAGTTTAGCATAGATAGACCTCTGTTCACTTTAAAGAGATGAAGACTCGTAAAATCTTCAATGAAACAAATTTATTTAATATAGTATTATCACATATCATAAGTACAGCCTGTATCATAAACATGCTTAGTATTTGGAAACATGATAAAGTATCGTTGCTATAAGCTATGAAGGCTGGGAGAAGGATCCGTGGATATTATAGTAAAGGTATTTTTGACCGAGGGCTATAATATTAATAATTTTTTAATGAGTTAAGCTCGCCTTTGTACATAGTATTTAGGCATTCTTTTAAATCTGTTTTTATTGTATTTTCTTTTTTGTGTACAATAAGTATAAATAATTAAATAATTTAACTTAATTTGAGACGCCGTTGAGTTTAAAACTTGATCTAAAATTACATTTCATTCGATATTCCTAATGAAAACTTCATAAGCTGGGTACTCACTTAGCCGTGTAGCACGTAACGTAACAGATACAGTATCCAGTGAGTACGTAGGCACGAGCCCGCTGCGAGCCGCTCGCGGAAGGAGCGCAGCAAGTTCGCAGTGACCCGCCGAGTGGCGGTATCACTGCGAACACAAAGGCGGCTCGCAGTGTGCTCGTGGCAGCTCGTAGCTAGATACGCTGTGGACCGTGGACCAGCCGTACCCACTTGCAGGTTGATACAGTCTCTGTTACGTTACGTGCTACACAGCTAGGTGAGTACCCAGCTTTATATAATACCACAGTTTTTTGTCTGTCGCTCCGGAATAGCCTCCCACTCCAATAACCTGTCATTGTTCTCGTCGAACTTGTCGAATGAGAGTCTAATGTGCGAACTAGCCATATTCCGTTCCAGTGGGAGTACTAACAAGTCCTCCTAAGTTGAACCCCGTGATATACTTGGTCGCATGTAGTTAAAATAGCCCCTTAAGCTTCCAACGATTAGGTAGGGGAAAGGCTTCGTCAAACAGAACGCGTAATTAGCGCGCGTCAGAGCGCTAAACTAACGCCGCGCTATGACGCCGAGATGTGTTGTACTACTATGGTAACATACCGTCAATCAGAGCGCCAGCGCTATAGCGCTTATCATAGCGTAGCGCTCTGACGCGCGCTAATTACGCGTTCTGTTTGACGAAGCCTTAAAAAGTCCTCCCGTTCTACTTATGCATGGCATGGCATGGCAGGATAGTTACGTACAATTGTAACTTAGAGATCTCACATTGTGACGTCTGTGTTTATGCGCACAATAGTATCAAAAAACAAAAAACAAAAAAAACAACAACATCGGTCAACGAGCACTACTGCAACCACACCGACACTCCTCTCGCAACAACCTTACGCATAACACCTGTGTACATGTATATCGTCACGGACGGATTATCCATATATATAAAAATGAATTGCTGTTCGTTAGTCTCGCTAAAACTCGTGAACGGCTGGACCGATTTGGTTAATTTTGGTCTTGAATTATTCGTGGAAGTCCAGAGAAGGTTTAAAAGGTAGATAAATATGAAAATGCTCGGAATGAAATAAAAATAACAATTTTGTTTTTCCTTTGATGTGTCCCCCGTCGGACCGATTTTTTTGTTTGTTTTAAGTTTATTTTATGCAAAAGTTTAGGTCTTTTATTTATCGATTGAGGCACTACGAAGTCTGCCGGGTCAGCTAGTTTCAAATATAATTTGGAAGGAAAAATAAAACAATCATTTCTTTGTACACCACTGTTTGCCTCCTCTTCCTCGCCAACAGTTTGCAAAACGCGATAACCAGTTAACTTTAGT